AGCATACGCTAGGGCCCAGCTTATTGCAATGATATTTTTGTGCCACACTTCTCAGGACCCATTTCCAGAGACTATAAGGTCAGCCCCCCTCATCATTCCTTGGTCGATAACCGGATCGTGTGACAGGGACCCCAGATGCTTCGCTTCAGTGCCATCCAGAACTGTAGCCTCACCTGCAGCATTCTACAGACAGACTAACCACCTGCAGCATTCTACAGACAGACTAACTAATTAACTACAGATTCATCAGGTCATCGAGTGTAATCCTTTCTTAGGCCATGAAGGTCCTTCAGGGAGAAGGGCTCACCAGTGCCTTCTGATTTTGTGTCAGTTGCTGTTCTTGAGGGCCCTTCCCCCACATCGCCATTATCATAATCTACTGGCCGATCGGTTTTGGTTTTGAATTTCATGCTTCTCATGGTAGGAGCAACAGACACTGGCTTAGGCTCACCGTCTGGTTTGGCTGCTGTCTTGGGTTCACTGTTTGTTTTAGTTGCTGGCTCGGCTGCAGCTTGAGTGACTGGGGTAGCTGCTGATTTATCTCCCTGCCCTACAGTATCTAGCAGCATGCAATAAGCATATGCTAGGGCCCAGCTTATTGCAATGAGATTTTTTTTTTTTCCTTTAGAATTATCATAGTAATTTTATTCTAGATATTTCTTCACTTTATTTGGGTTTTGAATTTGTTCACGTGAAAATTCCTAGGCTGGGGCATGAGAAAATTTCTTCAGGGTCCAGCTCATTCTCTCTTAGTCTCTACACTACTCAGTATTTCTTACACCTGAGTCTACTTCTGGGGAAGGGGTCTCGTTATTCTTCTGGATATCACAGCCCTCACTCTAGAGAAGTTGTAGACAGTATAGAGGAAGCTTAAGAGCTGAAATACTAGGAAAGTGATATCCTTAACACTCAGGGGAAACTGGATATTCTCAAAAAGGGACATAACAGATTCAAAGGAGAAGAAGGAAAGGAAAGGGTGAAAAGCTTCACCTCTTGTTCTTCTGACAAACTGGGTGTAGTTACTAATAAACCCCCAAAATGTGCTATGGGATAGGGAGGCAGGGTCAGAAGAATAAACTCTAAGCCAAACATACTTGGCAGAAACTTCAGTACTTCTATGAACTTTTTATAAATTATCAGCGAGCCCAGCACAGTAACTATTCTAATCTGTGTTCTTCTACTGTAAAAGAGGGAAAAGAAAGATATTAAAGCTTTAAAAAATTTAGGGACTAGATTTACATGAAGACCTCCACCCTGAGAGACATTATGCATTTAGACAAATGGCTACTGACTGCTTTATTTCAATACAGAGTACATAAAACCAAAATACAAATTAGTAATCAGTACAGGTTTTTCTACTTTCTCAAGCCCCACATTGAGCTCCAAGAACTGTATTTGTCCTAGTTCAGGGCAAATTTGGGAGAGAACCTCCAAATGGGGTTCCCCAGGAAAGCAAAATTCAAACTACTCCTCTCTCTAACTGGTTTGGGAAAAAAGAGATTTCTTTGGAGAGCAGTGGGAAAAAAATGTTTATTTAACAGAAAATTGAATAATATTAAACAATAAAACCTCTCACTGTTCAACAAGATGGCAAATCTCAGAAGAAAAGTCCTTTTCATGTGGTGCAGCTCAGCTCGCTCAGGTTCTTATCAGTCCCTCCGGCGCCAGAAAATGCCGAGGCCCAGGCCCTGGTGGGCCACAAGTGTGAGCTCCTGGGATTTGTCTGAGTGTTTTTCAGTCCAGAGCAGGTTTGAACAGATCCAAGGAAAAAGAAAAAAGTCCAGGGAACTCCTCTGCCTCAGCTAGCTAAAACAAACTAAAAGCTGAAGAGAAGCTCTGTCCTGCTATCTCTCCATGCTGCAGACACCACAGTCCAGCAGCAGGATGTGGGGGAGTGATGTTTTCTTTCAACAAAAACTGCGCACTTCTTCTCCTCTTTCGCTTTCAGAGCCAGTCTTAAAGGTGCAGAACTTAATATATAACATAAAACAGGCGATTGAGGATACCAGTATCATAAAGTCACCCCTGGACACATACTCAAAACAAAATAGTTTATATAGTATTATATATATTATATAGTATTATATATATATTATATAGTATTATATCTTTGTCAGACAGGTTATGCAAAACAAACCATTTTGAAAATTACATTTTTAAGCAACATTATTATTGCAAATTACATGTAAGAAATTACATTTAAGCAATATTATCACACGTTGCAAAATGTAATACAAGATACACTACAAAATATATATTTTGTTTGTGGTTGAATGCAATTTCTCATAGGTACCAATGGTTTAACTACCATGCCAGAAAGAAAAACAAATATTCCTGACAACTGGACTCTGGATTATTGACACAAATGTCAGAAGAATCACTAAAACTGACAGCAGTTTAACTTCTAATGTACAACTCTGATGAGTTCGGCGGGAGAAAAACAGCACTCAATATGAGTGATCAGCAAGTCTCATTTATTGGTAACTCTAAAACCACTTATATAGCATCAATAATTAGGCTCATACATAGTGCAAAAGCAAGCTCATTCTTGGATGTTTTATTTAAGGTCAACTCCACCTAATTCCACATCCCTGTGATCGCTCATCTATGCTGAATTCACATTCTTTTGATCACAGTGTCCTGTTCTCAGTTAACAGTTATCACTAAGGTCTTTCTGACCTTGCAACATCTCACACCAACTGTACTCTATTGTTGTTTAACTTCTTCTCAGCTAACTGCTGCATGGGAACATGACCTTTGCTAGCTAGCCATTCCTCTATAATTCCCTGTTTTCTTTTTATAAAAAAACTGCAGAAGTAGCTGCCTTCTTGATCATGTTTTGCAAACATTGCAGCAAGCAAGGAATAAACAATAGTATAATCACAATGATCAATATAACAATAATTGCCATTTGTGCCAAATGTTTTAACTATCCTGTGAGACCTAGGCATTGAAACCATTCGTCCAATGGATTTGTTTCCACGGTTAATTTTTTCATATTTTATTGTAATTGTCGAAGATGAGCATGAATAGACACTGAATGTTCAGAAAGATTCATGCAACACATCCTATCAAGGTCCTCACAGCCATGGCCCTGTGCTCATAAAAAATCAATAGCAACTCTATTCTGCAAAACAGCATGTCTAATACTGTTCATGTCCAAAAGCAAATCAGACAAAACCTTTGATGTAATATTTACCTGTTTTCCTGTCCAACATGCCAGTTGTCGTAACTGTGTTAAGGCTTGAGCCCTCGCTCGCAGACACCCGTCTTACAATTACAAATGGCTACACCTGCGCTGCCAATACATTACACCATAGAAATCTCAGTTAAGGGTCAAAAAAGGCATTTATTAGATTATTAGAACAATGCTATGTAAAAATATACAAATATTGTTATGCAAGAATATAGAAATATACAAGTACCAAATTAAATTATATTAACAAATCATAATTTATTTCCAGCCTCTATAACTCACGATACATAAAAATCAATTAGATGTTTAACAATTTATTACTAAAAACATACGGCCCATATAGAAATACAAAAATATGCTTTCCCTTTCTAAATAACATTGTACAAATAGTGATCACAGCTGACAGAACTATACAACTCTACCACTCCATACACATTTCAATGGAACTAAATACACAGCTATACACAAATACATATAAATGTGTATAACTATAACTATCTACAGAAGTACATATGGATTAAATATTACATACAATATAAATAAACATATATATATAAAACAGACCTATATAAAAAAATTATAAATTTTTATAAGTATAAAAATATCAAGCTAGATATCCATACAACTGCATCAGTAGAAATGTACACCTATACATCTGGATACATATATAATTCCACATAGAAATGTCAATTCACAGATAAAAATATAAAAATACACATATCTACCTATGCAAATACCAATATACCTATTTAAAGAGGCAAAGCACTATAATTGCATCAACAGAAATAGATACCCACACAACTGTATACATAGAAGACAGATTTTAACACAACTATAACAACATATATGTATACTTATATACACATATGTAATTATAAACATGGATGTGTATAGATCCATACATATGTACAAAGAATACATCCATAAATAGAAAAACATATATAGGAAATATTCCTATACAAATAGGAATATACATATATACATATATAAATATCCACATAATTATCCCTCTTTATGTATAAGTCCATTCTTCTTTAAACAGAGGGAACTCAGCCTCCCCCCATCTACAAAGCCTCTCCCTCTGTCTCTTGCTCCTGTGCACAGCAGCTCTCCTGGACAGGGACAGCAGATGGGACATCTGGGAGGCAAAGGGAATACTGAGTCAGTACTGGGACCCTTCCCTTGGCAGCACCTGCCCTTCCAGCAGGGAAGGGAAAACCTCAGAGCCTCCCCAGCAGGGCTGAAAGAACAAGCAGGCCAAGCAGGCCAGCGTGTGGCGAGCGCAGTCGCGGCGGGACTGTCCTGCATCCCCCGGCAGGCCGGCACAGCTCCCGGGCCCTGCCGGCACAGCTGCCTTGCCCAAGGACAGCCCCTGTGCCGGCCGGGGCAGCAGCGCTGAGCAGCCCCAGCACGGGCAGGGGCCGCTCCTGCCCAGCCGGGCAGCGCCCACGGCCAAAGCCCACGCCACCCTCAGCCCTGCCCGGCCTCACTGGCCCTGTGGCCTCACCCAGGCTCTCGAGGTGGCAGCAGCAGCTCCCTGTTCACTGCTCTCGCTCCTGGCCTTCAGCTTCTCCCTGCTGGCTCCTGGCAGTGTCTGGCTGGCCTCAAGGTCTTCAGGACAGCTGTGGCAAAAGTGGAGGCTCTGGAATTGGTTCCAAGGCCTGGCAGAGCTGCAGTCCCTGACCCCTCTGTGCTCCCTGCTGGCTCCTCCATCCCCTCAGCCCCGCCGTCCTCTTGGCAAACCCCCAGCTCCCCCTTCAGTTTCTTCAGTCCCTCACAGTTCTCTCACCCCCCTCAGTCCCTTCTGACCTGTTCTGTCCGCTCAGAGCTGGCATCTCCCTCAGCCCGTGCCACTTCCCTGTCACCTCAGTGCCACCATCACCCTCTGCTCCCCCACAGCCCTCAGTGCCCCCAGCAGCTCAAGGTCACCGTCCCTTCAGCGTCACCGCCTCCTCAGCCCCCTCAGTCTCACCGTCCCTCAGCAGCTCCTCAGGGGACAGTGCCTGGGGCCACCGGCAGCTCCCACCACTCCA